ATATATATATATATATATATATATATATATATACTAGAAAAACAACCATCTTTATTGTGTACGCCGCCCATAAATCTAATGACGAGCTGGGACACCAGTCTCCAAAACTTGCACTCTTTCTAAAGAAGTTTGTCTATTTATACTTACGTTTTTCGAAGCATTCAACTTGGAAGAGAAAACAAAACTGTCAAAATCTACGATACTAGTTTGCAAGTTCTTTCAAATGGGCACCATTCAAAGCCGCTACCGTTTTTATCCCTAGTGTCAACTTGGAGTTGCCAGCGGAAACCTTGCGCTCAATGCCCTGCTTGGTTGCTTTCAAAAGTGACGGCACCTGTCGGCTTGTTGCGTACAATTCCAACTGGACTGGAAAGGCTGCCTGCACGGTTCGTTGCCTCCAGTTACTTTGCCTTTTCTTCTCTCGTTTTTTGTTTTTTTACTTGGGGCAGCCGCTTTTTAAAGCGTGCCGCTAGCACTTACGACAGCCCACAAGTCAGTAAACCGAAGTGAAGACGGTGACCTTTCCAGTCCGCCGCATAAAGGCCTGAGGGGGCGGGGGGACGCATCGATCGCTCCCTGTGCGACACCTACATCGAGCGATCATTGTCTGAACACATGTACAGCTGGTAGAGTAAGTTTCTGACTGACTGCCCGAGGTCTTAGCCGTTGTCTGGGTCAGCGTGATCAACCCGACGGTAAAAAGCCACAAAAGACTGACATGCTCCCCAGCTGTTGCCATAGCAACATCCATAGAAGCTTTAAACTACTGTAAACGACGATACAATTCCCCCACATGGCTAAAGTGTCTGGCTTAGGGCTAAGGCCGCACACTGAGGAAGAAATGTTTCCTTGTCTACGTTATTAGTTCAAGAACCCTATCATATTTGACGATGGTATACGACACTGTAGACGATGGCTTAACCCCTTATAGCAAAACTGTCTTGTAGGAATACCTAAATATATATATTCCTCCCGCCCAACTGTCTTACAGAATTGATGGTTAAACATTTAATTCTTGGTTAACTAGTGTAAATGAATATTTAAGTTAACTTAAAGCTCCTATCATTGTTTTAATAAGCTTAATATAATCAACTCTATCAACATAAACTCCGGTTGCTCAGACAACTGATGTTTATTGATGGAGACTTAACCTTATATTGGCGAAATTTAACAAAAAATAGAAAGTCTGGCTCCTGAAAATGTAAAAGTGGTTTATCACTATAAGTAAAAGGCAAATAGGGCTTCCTAAGGCAGCATTATCCCCCTTGAAAATATGGCATCTGTCTCTTGCCTTATAATTTAGCTCCTAGGGTCTGCTCAATAAAATGCAGGGCTAGGTAAAGCCGAAAACCACGTAGGGATTTGTATGCTGGATTTAAAGAAAATGTTTTTATTTCGCTACAGGTGGAAGCCAGCAACTTGTGCCTATCCGAACCACCGCTGCTAGCTCTGACCACGCCAATTCTACTAGGTGAGACGGTAAACAGCACCCGTGCCATGATCATTTCACTGCCGAAGAAACTCTACGAATCACTTCAGCCCTTTGACTTGGAAGTCGGAACGACTCGTCAAAGCCAGTCCGGTGAGTCCTGTCATCAAACCTATCTCTTGCAATATCCTGACACACTCAGTACCGCTTCGAGACAGTTGCTATAACACAGTGTCTGTGCAATACGCTTTACGTGCAAAAGTCAAGCTCTACCGCGTCAGTGATGACGATGATGATGCTTGTTCAGGATGACTTTTCTACCAACTATTTACGCGTTCTTGTGTTTAATTGTTTCCACCTTTCAGTCCTACCTCCACAGAATATTGATTGGTTGATCAAACCTGTTTCGAAAAATGAGTTCTCCGTCATCCTTAAATATCGCCCGCCGACAACAAACCCTGGCCTACTCAAAACCTTCACATTTGTCCTCGGCGAAAAGGGGGCTGAGAGAGAGCGCGTCGTTGTAAGCGTCAGTGACGGGGTGAGTTTTGCGTCCATTCCTTTTGCTGACCTAAGCTAATACTGTGCCTTGTATGTCTCCTTTGCTCAGTTCTTACTTCTCCGACATCATCAGCATAGTTAAGACTTAAATGTAAAGATTCTTTATAAACAACACCACACTAACAAAAAACCGCAGGTTTATCTACTACGGGACAGTGTATAGACAAAAAGTAGACCTACTAAATATTTGCAAGTAGTTATTATTACTAACACCTCTTAGGTGGCCCTGCGATATATTTCTACCGGCAATTGTTCTTTGAACGTTTCGTTGGAATGTGCTGCACGGATTTCTTATAAAAAACACCCCAGTAACAAAAAAACACAGTTTTGTGTAATACGGAACCGGTAGTAGTAGGGGTTATACGGGTGGTGCATATCAAGACGAAGGAAAAAAATAGAGCGTATAAAAGTGGTAAATAGTAGGCATAATTGTT